CTTAGCTCCCTCAGCCCCTAACTCTAGTTCTCTTGTACGGAATCTATACAGTCAGAGACTATTAGTTTGCTGATCGTCAGCAAACAGGCTGCACGAACAAACCAACAGACAATTGACAATTGTTATATTTCGTATGTGTAATGATCTTATGTTTGTGTGTATGTGTTATGCCAATGCGATTTCGTTTTATTGTAATCAGAAAGTAAAGATAATATGTTTTGATTTTCTATTTGAGCTTTCTCTTATTTTCGATTAAATGTTATTTCTTGTTACAGATAAAGTTTTCGTCACCGTAATTTATTACTCTGGAGCTGCCACATTGAAGCACGAGTTTGAGAATTTGTCAGTGAAATACCTTCGCACCAAATTGGACAGAGGAAGACTGAAATATTAGTAAGCATTGCCTGTATATGAGGATATGGAATCAACTGCCGATATTCGAATGATAGTTCAAGTTGTTCGACCTCATCTACCAAAAACTTCGTATGTTATATTTGGGACCATCTGCAGGTGAGACTGCGGGTTTCATTGCTTTTACTGGTTGTGCATTTGCTTAAAATTTTTTATAGGACGACGTTTCGGTCCCAAGGGTGAACTTCATCTAGTTTAATTGAAATTTATTGACAGTATATTTTATCTGTCTTCCAAGTGTCCCTGCGTTTGTTTTTTCCATTTATCTCCACTTCACTAGTACCAGGCGGTGATGGCCATGAGGTAATCACTGTGTGTGGTCAGTGCTACCAATTTTTGCTATAATCCCAATGTCGAATTTTCGACAGGATATACGTCCGCGTATAAGATAAGAAATGTTTCTGGGTGAAACAACTTGAGAAGCGTGCGCAAATTCTCTAGTAATTCAAGAATAGATACAGTGGAAAGTATCTCATATGGAGATGCAGTGAAGTGATCTACAAAAACAAAAAGAAAATATAGGCCACAACACACCATCAACTTTTGTCTTTTCTGATGACCAAGAAACCTTTCCAAACAAGGCATGGCTGGTTGTAACGAAGCAGCTATTCCAGTAGTTAATTGTTTACATTATACTACTTCTGTTTTGTGTTTCATTCATCAGACAATGGTTATATATTCGTTGGTGTTTGTGTTGAATTTCTGATTGTGTGTATGTCTTATGCCAAAGCAATTACGTTTTATTGTAATCAGAAAGTAAAGAAATATTGTTTTGATTTTCTATTTCAGCTTTCTCTTATTTCCTATTAAATTTCTTTTCTTGTTACAGATATGGTGTCCGCGAAGTTAGTGCTCAAGGCGGCAAAGATTTCGTCACCGTAACATATCACCTTAAGGCTCACATCGAAACAGAAGTTTTTGAATTTGTCGGTGCGACACCTTCGCACCAAACTAGACAAAGATGAAGACCTTGAATTATTATAAAGTATTGTCTGTAGGTGTAAGTTTGATTTACTGCCTGAAGAGATGAAATCAGCAGCCGATATTTGAATGGTTGTTCAATGTTTTCGACCTCATCTACCAAAAACTTCATATGTTATATATGGAACAACCTATAGGTGGTGTTACCGGTTTCATTGCGTGTCCTGGTAGTGCATTTTCGAGAGACAATATATCTTGAATATGATTGTCTGGCCAATCAAAACGACACATATGTAAAATTCTTTCTTGGACAACCATTCGGTTCCAACGGTGACCATCATCGACTTTAATTGAAATTTATTGGCAGTATATTTTATTAATCTTTTTTCCAGTTTCACATTACTTTACAGTGTGTTTGTTCTATTACAATAGTCCGAAAGGTCCTGTAACATGCTAAGATTCCGCGAAGCAATCATTGTAATTTTAGGATGGTTCTGCGCAAAACTAGCTGAGCCCAGGACTGCTTGGGTTAGGCATTCCCGTCCCCAAAAGAACGTCCAGCTTTCTAAATCGATAAGCGAGCATAAGGTCGTTTTCAATGTACCAGTCACGTCACACTCCCCCATCGTCCCGAACATGCCAAGTCCAACGAAAACGTGAAGACAAAACCAGAACTGTATTCCTAACACATTGGTTAGTTGTTATGTAATCTTCGACTAAAATGCTGCACGTGATGTGCATTTATGGATCTGAATAATATAAGACGCAACAGTTTGGCCGTGAGGTGCGAAGTAAAATGTCTACGGAATTGACATCTAATAACAAACTATAAAAAAAAACCTTGAAAAAGGTCATGGTCTGTTAGTTATGTTGGAGAATACAAATTAGTTCTTTCCTTCAAGGATACTCAAACAAACAACCAACAGTCCACTAGAGAAGTAGAAAGAGAGTTGTTAAATTTCATACAGACAGTTATTGTTATTACAAAAATAAGTTAAAGGAATCAGCCCGAATGAAGTGAGTGATGGTCCATCCGTGGGCATACAAAACAAAACAAAACCGGCAGCAAATTCTCACAAATCTATAGATCCATATTCTTCAGCTCCCGATTTTTCAACTTCAAAAATGCAGTATTGACAATACCGTCCTAAGTGCAATGCGAAACTTCTAGAACTACCTAGTGCCTAACATAAATCGTCTTCATAATTCTTCCTTTTTGTGAATTGGAAACTGAAATTGTTGATTATTACCGTATTTAATGCTGAAATAAACAGTTGGGGTTCGTGTTGCAAATCCCATGTCTAATCTCTCAAAACAGGTTATTCACCGGAACTTCCTACCAACTTCTGAAATGCCATTACTGATCAGTTTTTAGCCATGTATATAACAGGTTTGTACTCATAAAACACTCTTACATGAAAACTGTTTATTGTCCAAAAACGAAAATACGCATCTGAAGATGAGTAATGCAAGTATAATTTACGAAATTTTCAACTGTAATATGAACTTATAAAGTTAACATAGCCATTTAACAACATATTGGTCTTCATATCTACTACAAAAAACACTTACATACTTATTACAGATTGTAGAACATTTATGTCGTTGTGAGACGGGCTCATGTAACACCTACGTCATTTTTTTACTTTAACAACTGCAAGGATCAAAGAACTCTGGGCTGAGAAGTCGACGGCTTCTTTGCATGGCTGAACGAAGCTCCCTAGGTAGTCTTGGTTCCGATAAACGTCGTCTCAGATGAAGTTCAATTAGAGTTTGCCTCAGGGAACAATAAAATTTCGTCGCCTAATAGAATTTCCAGTCCCAGACGGAACAAAAACAAGGAATTTACAGAAGCTGTATGCATAATAGGATACCAAATAGTACAAGGCCATCTTCTCGTTCTTAACCTGTATTGTAATTTACATACTTCCGATCTAATGCATCACCTCCCGCCTTCATGGAGTGATACAAATAATATAGAATCATATCAGGCTTCTTGATTCTTCTACTATTTGTTATCATACTGCAATACGAGAACGTGTTTCTTCGGTTTTTAGAACTTCGACACTAAGGTTGTAGTGCAAGTGTACATAAACTTAGAAGTACCTGGCCGTGTTTTATTATTTAGAACTACATATTGAGGTATTTTTTTCTTATTTTTACGGTTCCTCCCGACATAGGTCAGTTGGCTGTTGCGCAATTCTACATCTAATTCTATTGACGTGAACCAGTGATGTGCGGTGATATTTCTGTTCGTTTAGACGAAAGCATTGAGCAGGTAGTGAGTATTTGCATCACAAAGGCCATAGCATCTTCAGTCCCTACTTGTTCTGTTTAGTATTCTTGTATGTTCAGAAAGAACATCGGCCCACGAGCAAACTCGTCTTTTGCAGGGACTCACCCATGATATAACAATTCCCTCAGTTCGGTATGAATATCTCAAACATTTCACGTATGGCGTAATGCATCTGCCTTTCTCGAGTCACTGGTAGAAATACTATGAAACCTCTATGTGGCTAGCAAAAACAGGAACCTCTTTAGGGGCCTAGTAGCACGGAAAATGTCTCTGCCAGTGCAGTCTGATGCAAATAAACCTTCGACATTTTGATGGTTGGATTTGAAAACTGATGTCAAATAGAGCTAGCCAAAAAATGCTTTGATCTCGGCTGAATCTGTGTAATTTATATATGAAGCTGTTTTTCCATATTTACTGGATATATTTTCTTATTTGTACAATCCACAATTTTGCTAATAATTTCATCGGTTATGAGAAGAGATCTGTAGTTGACAGGTACTTATCTTCCAAATTGCTTGCCACGGGTTTTAGTTAGGTTAGGTAAATACGTAATAATATTATGTCGTCTGGTTCGACCATTTGCAGGCGCAAATTTGACCATTTGTGCATGATTTTGTCTATAATCATAGCCTACGGATGTTAGTGGAAAGTCTGAAGAACAGTCGAGTCCGCTCTGTACGGTGTCAAAATCGAGGTCGACCACAGGAACTTGTTCGGGTTGATCGATAACAGCGTCGTCCTCGGTATCGTCTATGGTGTATTGGTGTATTGTTCATCCGTCAATAATGAAAAATCCATTGTGAAAGAAGTTCAAAACGTACACGCACTGGTATCGCCGGGTCAAATTTGAATATGAGAAGTCACGGGATCCCACCTCATAACTGAGAAAGAGTCGAATCAGAGACGAATTAAAGATTGCTCTGGGTCAATTTTCACCCGATGATACCATATAAGGATTAAATTCTTCCATATTCCTAAACGAATCCATAAAATGGAATGAACTTTGTCCGTGAATATTCTCCGAGCAAAGCGTCTCAAGTGCAGTTTTGATCTCTGCGCCCTGATTACAAATAGTGCATAGTATCCTTCACTAGATAATAAGCCACATCCTGCTTATAATTTTTACGCATCCCTCATGTCAACAAGGGCGTGATTAGCGAACTTGTTAGTTATCTTCTCTTCTGTTATCCACAATTGACTTTCAATGATTTCCATAAACTGATGTCTCCCCTAATTCTACAAAGATTAAATTGAGCTCAAATCGCCATCTTGTTCAACTGTTTCTTTAACCAAGACAACTTATTACAAGTGATATGGTGAATTTGGTATATTTTAGATTTCCTATCTGTTAAATCACTTTTACAGAGTTCTAGTTGCTTATATTAGACCATACCATAAAGGGGTTTCCCATTAAAAACGTGAAGCGAATTCTGTTTCTTCACGGGTAGACGTAATCCTTTGATGAACGTGTGCACCTTGGCCCGTTACATCGCGCTGCTGGAAACAGCAGCAGATACTCTGGAAGGTAAATTGTCATTATAGATAGTTGATTTTGGCATTCATTAAACACTTAGTACTTGACTCCTGAGTTGAGTGAAGGAAGTTTTCTGACGTGAAGGGTAATTAAGGAATTAAAAAAGATGAGATCCCTATCGTCATCAGTGATATCCTATTTTTCTAGGCAATGATCTTTTCTAAATCAAAAATGCTTTGTCCAAGTCATCTGTTTTGCTTCGAATTATGAGTTATTTTCTTTGTAATCTCATAGTTGTGCGAGGATTATAAGTAAGTCACCTTGTACGAAGAATTCGGCAGTGTGTAATTGTTGTTGGCAGTAATGCTTTAAAATATTAATTAAGATTTCATTCCATATCTCTTCACGGTTACGACGTAGTTTATAGACTACCACTCACTCCCTCCATATGCATGCTTACGGGTAGAAAACTAACATTGGGCGTTTTTAATGCATCTAGTTATACTCCAACTCATAATTAGTATTATTTCCCCGGAACACCAATGAAAGCAGTAGTTTCTGACAGGCAAACTTGTTTCTATGCTAAACGGAATGCGGAGGTTAAATAGAATTTTAACGAGTAGAAATCTTCTTTGGTATATGGGTCTTTTTTTTTATACTCCACTACCCACGAAGGCCTAAGGCGTAAAACACCCCATTGGGTACCGTGGGGCTATGGGGGGATACAGGGGCAAGGGGGACGCCACACGGACTCTGGCGAGGGAACACGTGTGCATGCAACATGCACCATTCTGGCTCCGCCTACGAGATCTGCCGGGTGGTACCTCCACGTTCGACAGTCAAGAGACCGTCTATACCACCTACCGGACAATCACAACATCCATAGCCAAGAGAAAATTTTCTGCTGGGACGGGACTCGAACCCGCACAGCGCAGGAGACCGAAGAGTCTACTACTGCGGCCACCGCTGCTGCCTCGTATAGTAAAACTAAAAGAACATGAACACATAAAAAAACATAAAACCAAAAGAACATGACACAAATTAAAAATTTACATACATTCAGTGCTACTATCATTACATGATAGAAAAACAAATTGCATACGACGATGGGCATAAAAATGTAGGAGCTAGATTTAAGGTTCCTCAATATCGTCATTCATGATGGCCCGGCAGGCTGCACACACTTCATTGTGATCAGGACATAGCAGGTGACAGTTTCTGCAAGAATGCATGCGCGAGACAACATGTACCTCATTGTCATCTTTTGCTTCCTGTTATTCTGGATCACTTTGTCATCTAAGGCCATTTGAGCCATATCGTGATCAATGACCTCTAAGAAGTCATTAACTTCGGTGTGTCTGTCATCAGGGAAGATGCATCCGGATCATGAATCAGTG